AAGATATTTATTCCTCTGTGCAAGCCAAGCTAGTGAAAATCACTAATCCCACTGGTAGTTAACTATCGTTCTAGTGGCTTCAGTCTACAATTGAGGCTAAAGTTTGAAGCGAAGGTAGCTGTGGAGCCTGAGCTACTGAGAATGCCCTCCCTAGCTGCCCTTACCCAGTGAAGGGGCAGTGCTGCGTCTTATTCTCTAGCATCAGTTGCTATTCCCTTAGAGCTTGCTCTCATTTCTTACACCTAAGCTTGAACGTGTCCTGGAGAGTGGACAAGAAAGAAGAGTACCTGCCCCACAATGGAGCTGTTCTATTTTTATGAGCTTCCAGTCATGCAGTCCAGAGTAGGATACGGCATGGGAGTTGGATTCGAGGGTGCATACCAGTGGCAGTTCTGCTTACAGATCAGCCAACATTGCATTCCTTTCAGGAGCTCTGTCATTCTGTTTCTGAGGAAGTATAATTTTGCTTCTTTGCCAGCAGCTGCACAGACATATTTTCATTTTTACTCAAGCTTCTGCTAGTGGCCACCTGGATGTGACAGAAAGAGTCAAGCCTAAACCGAATTAAAAGTTATCAGTCATCTTAATTCATTTTCAGCAAATTAAAAATTATGCACAGTATATTTCATTTGATCATTTAAAAAAACCAAGGATTTTTTTTCCACACTCTTGAATATTTCTGTTTAGAACATAAATAGATGAGCCGTGCTGATAATGTTCCTTTGCAGTGCTCTGCACGTGGCTGCCTATTTTGGCCTATTTATGTTAACAATGAACTTGAGTGAAGCTAATGAGAAGGTTATTTTAGGGCCCTGGAAACCACAGTAAAGGAAAATGACAGTTCCCGCAGAATCATAGTGTGACTGAAATAGAAAGGTGGTGACTGGGCTCTCTCTGTAGAAGCAGGAAAAGCAAGCTTGAGAGGACTGATGATACTGCTTTGAAGCATTTGGTGTGTGCTTATTAGCATGTCCAATCTCTTTCTGAGCAAGTTTTCTGGCTGCCGTGGA